CCTTGGCTACTGTTGAGAAAAACAGAGTGGAATGTAGAAATGATAATGCAGGTGGCTGGAAATTATAAACATTACTAATACTGTAGCTTTTGCAAACTCACCAATTATGTTCTGATTACTAATTAAACAGCTATCTCTTAACCAATGTATGTTTGACACAAATGTATACTCTGGTTGCTAAAGTGGATAAAAGAGGCTTGTCCCACAATAAAGTCCTTCTTTCTCTCTGGTTTTTTCACCCAGTTTTTGTGTGTTTTTGTATCTATTCTTTTTTGTAGCTGTTTGGCCAGCAGTGACACCAGACTGGACACCCCTGTCCACCCCCAGGACCCCCAGCCCCACACAGCTCCAGACCCAAACAGGGAATTCAACGATCCCCTTCACCTCTGCTCTTCCAGACTCCTTTCAGCCAGGTCAAACAGGTACCAAAATAATTCTGCAGGCAGCGTTTTGCTGGAATTTACCAGACAGCGAGCTCTGTGACCACAACAATGAGGTTTTGGAGATGCTCCTTTGAGCCAGGTCAACCAGGAGCCAAAATAATTTTGAGGGCAGAGTTTTACTGGAATTTACCAGGCAAGGAGCACAAGAATGAGGTTTTGGAGATACAAGAAAGGACACATGATCGTAACACCATCCCACTGACATGGAAGTGATAAAACAGCCAAAGGAAAGAGTGGAGGTTTTCAAAACAGGCTCAATCCCTGTTAATTAACCCCTGTTAATGAGCCCCTGAATGACAAAGCTCCTGGGCAATGGAGACCTGGGGTCAGCAGAACTGAGCTGAGCCTCTGGCTCTGTCTAAAATTCCAGCCCCCACTGGGAGTTAAGAACTTGTCTGGGTTTTGTGCTGCTCTGCCAAGAGATTGATTTGCACTAAACCTCTTTCTATTGGACTRAAATACAATATTCCCATTTTAGGAAAATTGTTTGAAATTAATTAACACCCAAAATAATTTGATATTAATTAACTCCAATTTGAAATATTGGTCTCTCCTTGTCCCTGCCCAGGCACTGGGAATGCCTTTCCCTGCTCCTCTTTTGGTCTCTCTGTCTCTGGACAGATCTAATATTTGTTTGTTTTTGCTAAAGCTCMACTGGCTGAGCAAGTTTGGAGGCTCATTTTGAGCACTTGTTTATCCCACAGCAATAACTCACGGACAGAGAGATTTCCTTGCAGGGACAAGAGAGGAGGCAGAGACAGGGCACAGAGTTTTATCACCAGGGAGGAATCAATCCTATAAATGCCGTTTATAAGAACCTTTTGTTTTATAGGAGCTGAACAGCCCAGAAGGTGTCGGGGCACTTTGTAAACATTGTTTTTTCACCAGCTGCTGACCTTTGTGGCTGTGAGCTGGCCCYGAGTCCCATCTAGCGGTGGAGAGCGGAGTTTAAAGGAAGGGGAGGATTCAGCAGTTCCTGGTGAATTCCCAGGGGCTGGATCYGTTTAACACCAGGGTGTCAGGGACTGGGAACGTGCTCAGGGGGTCAGCAAAGGGGCAGCTCTCGAGGTATTAATGATTCATGGAGTTCAGACACAGGAATCCAGCGGTGTGTGATCATGAGGCACTGTTCCTGTAGCAGGTGCTGAGGACAGTTTTGATGTGCCTGGGGGTCCTCCTTTGTCTGTGTCAGTGCCTTGGTTATGGTTTTATTGCTTTTTTTTTTGCCTTTTCCAGCCCCACTCAGCCCCAAAGCTGYGAGTGTTTGCTGTCTTTGCCTCCCGGGCTGGATTTCCTGACCTACCCCAGACAAATCCCACCCTGGGCTGGGTTGGATTACCCGAACCCTAACCTTAATCCTAACCCTAACCCTGAGGGAGGGACCTTAAAGCTCCTCTGGTTCCACCACCTTCCACCATCSCAGGGTGCTCCAAGCCCCATCCAACCCTGAGGATGCTGGATCTTCCGAATTCTAAATTCCCCCTGCAGTTGTTCCACATTTGTATGGAGCAGCTAGACCTGGCTGCATCCCATTCCAATGGGGTCAAACTCCCTCCTGTCCATCCCATTCCAAGGGGTCAAACTCCACTCTGTCCATCCCATTCCAAAGGGTGGAACTCAATTCTGTCCATCCCATTCCAAGGGGTCAGTCTCCATCCCATCCATCCCATTCCAAGGGGTCAAACTCCATCCCGTCCCTCCCATTCCAATGGGGTCAAACTCCACCCTGTCCATCCCATTCCAAAGGGTGGAACTCAATTCTGTCCATCCCATTCCAAGGGGTCAAATTCCCTCCTGTCCATTCCATTCCAAGGGGCGGAACTCCATCCCATCCCTCCCATTCCAAGGGGTGGAGCTCCCTCCTGCCCAGCAGAAATACCTCCCACACCTCCAAACACACAGAGGGAAACTAAAACCAGCTCTTGGCAAACCCAGGTGCAYGTGAGCCCCAGACTGAGGTGCTCCAGTTCTCTGTGAGCAGGGATGCTCTGGGAATATCTCCCCAAAATGACACTGTGTAACCTGTTTGTACCCTAAGAGGCATCTCCATGGAAAGAGCCCTGGAGCCGTGGGACAAAGCTGACGGGCATTTGCCGTGTGTCGTGGCCACCCCAACAATGACAGAACCCTAACACCATTTATGGATGAGGAAATGGGGTTCATCAGGGAATTCAGGAGCCCCACCTGAGTCCTTGGCTTTCTTGGCAGCGTCCGAGATGTAATCCTGCGAGCGGCCGTCTGTGAACACGATGCCCACCTTGGGCACGCCAGGCCGGGCCCCGTTGATGGCGGAAAAGGAGCTGTCCACGAGGTACTTGAGGGCCTGGCCCGTCATGGTGCCCTTCTCCATGTAGGACATTTTCTTCACGGCAGCCTTGATGTCCTTCTTGCTCCTGAACTGGCCCAGGGGGAACTCCTGGCGGACGGAGCTGGAGTACTGCACCAGCCCCACCTGCGCCTGCCTGTCTGACACCTCCAGAGAATCCACAATCTGGTTGATGAATTTCTTCACCAGCTCAAAGTTCTCAGGCCTCACGCTCTTGGAGCCGTCGATGAGGAACACGAGGTCCAGGGCAGAGCCCAAGCCCCCATTGCAAGCTGCAGGAGAACGGAGAACGGGCAGAAGAAAACAACAGCAAAGACCTCAATAAATGATGCAGGAAAATAGAACCYGGATCAGTAAAACCTTACAAAACAAGGGCCTTGTTAYCCTGGTGAAAMCCCTGCTCTCTCCTGTTRCTTTGGCCAAMMAGAGAAGGATCCAGGGAATGATTCAGCTGAACTAGAGGTGAAAAACAAGTTCCATGWGCCTGGGAAATGAGTGCTGGAGCTGGTATTYCTACCCATGAGAATGTGGCATCAACAGAAGTAAGAAATTTAARCAGCAGAAGGAGAAGAACGGCACCAAGGCTGCACCCGGTGTTTTTCTGAATGCTTGAACCCTTGTGCTGTAGGTGACCAATGGTGCTGTGCTGCAGTTAAATAATGGCCAATGAATCTGTTGGAGTAGCTCAGTAGCCAATGAAWGTGTAACAGGAATGATAAACACACAAAAGTGTAYAAATGAGACTGATTGYTGGAATAAAGAGCTKTTTGCCCTTTACTGTCCATGTGTGTGTGTCATGGCYGCCCCAACAGTGACMGAACCCTGACACCATTTATGGCTGAGGAAATGGGGTTCATCAGTGAAAACTCAACCAGAGCTCACAGCGTGTTTTGCAGGTGATTCTGGGCTGTAAGAGCAGGGTTCCCTTCCTGCCTTCCCTGAGCTGACCCTCTTGGTGCTGTCCCCCCATCCCCTCCGGACGCGGGGCCAACACGACGCTGCCATACCAGAGCAGGTCCTGCCGTCGCTGTTGAGGCTGAAGCCATCCCTGCAGGAGCAGCGGTAGGTGCCCGGGGTGCTGACACACAGCTGCTCACAGTCRTGGTCCCCCGTGGCACACAGGTCAGACACCACTGCGGACAGGGGAGGGGTCAGCCAGGGGCCGGCCAGGAGAGAGGGCAGGGGTGGGTGAAATAGTGGGGAGAGAATCCTGGCAGGGTGGGGAGGGGCTGGGATGGAATTCCCAGAGCAGCTGTGGCTGCCCCTGGATCCCTTTGAGTGCCCAAGGCCAGGCTGGACATTGGGGCTGGGAGCACCTGGGACAGTGGGAGGGGTCCCTGCCATGGCAGGGGTGGGACTTTAAATTCCCTTTCCACCCCAATCATTCCACGATTTTTGCCTTTCCCACCCCATTGGGATGACCTCTGCTGGCCCTGGGTGTGTCCCAGCAGGAGGGGCCAATCCCTGCTCCATGTCCCTGCCCCGTTTGCCAGCCCTGTGTTCCCTGCCCTATCCCAGCCCTGTCCCAGCCCCGTGTCCCGTGTCCCTGTGCCCCCAGGACAGCACTCACCGCAGAACGCCTCCTGGAACTTGTGGCTCAGTTTCTCGATGGCGCTGTAGCTCTCCACRTAGTCCACATGCTCGTCCAGGGGCTCGCTGGCCATCTGCCGCAGCGTGCCCATGTCCACCCTGCCCACGCCCAGMGCAAACATCTCGATGCCCGCAGCCCTGGCCCGGGCGGACACGTCCTGCACCCCGTCCTGGGGCCGGCCGTCGGTCACCACGATGGCCACCTGCACGGGAGGGAGGCCTTGGGTGGGCATTGACATCCTCACGGACATCACACGSTTTGTGGGACAGACTGGTGTGTGASAGGAGGTTTTGCRTTTCTAAAATTCAGGGAAAGGGGAACCCCACCAGCTCGTCCCATTGTTCAAAGATTGCATAATCCATTTTTTTGGGTGGAAGTGATTTCTTTCCCAGCTGGAATGGTTAAACTGCCAGGGACTGCCTGGTTTCATCGAAGGACAACCAGTGCATCCCCCCTAAGGAAACCGAGCAAAGCTCACGTTCTTCACACCTAAACTCAAGCTCAAGCCACACTAAAGATCTTCAGGAACCCCAGGTGACACACAGGACAAGTCCAGCTCAGTGAGGGACTTCAAGGAATCTCAGAAATGTCATGGAAACATAAGATGGAGGTTTCATGCCATGTGCAGGTGGAGGAGCTGAAGGATGGGGACAGAGAAGACACGAGCTCTGCCTGAGGTCCCGCTGTGTGTCAGGGCCAGGATTTGTGATTCTGTTCCAAAATGAACAGCAGAGATTAAATCCCACCCCTGCTAAGCCCAGCATTACYGTGGCAGCTGGTTTCAGTGGGAACTTGGATTAAACGGAGCTCTGAGCTACTAAAAGCCTCCCGAGTCCTCCTCCTGCTCCTGCTTTGTCCATTTTCCTCTYTATTTTCCTTCTGAAAGAGGCTTTGTCACAAGACCTGAATTCCTGCTCTTTGCCAGTTCTGCCCCTGCCACTTTTCCTCATAACTGTTTTATTGTGACCCCACTACCAGCTCTGGTGGAGCTGCCTGGGCCAGAATGCAGGATGGGGAAAGAACTTCCCTTCTTTGCAAAACACGGGAAAACCAGGAAAAGTGCAGGGTTTTACAGTCTAAGTTCAGGTGTTTCCCTGTGCTTCCTATGGGCTGCACAATTAAAAATTCCCAGGACTATCACGTTTAAAAATACCCAGGACAATCACAATTAAAGTACCCACGATCATCACAATTAAAAGTACCCAGGACCATCACAATTAAAAATCCTCAGGACATTCCAAAGGAGCGCCGGGGGTTTCCTGGAGCGGATCTGTCCCTGCAGTGGAGCCTTTTGCCAGGAGAGAGAGCCCTCGGCTCAGCCTCAGCTCCGGCCCGGC